CCTGGTTCTTGATGTCACCCTTAAATACCCTTAACCTCCCTCCAGATGGCAACAAGCTAATCAGGGCTTCGAAAGCCTCCAGGAGGGGTGAAAAGGGCTCAGGAGGACCAAAGGGTAGGAAGGGTTAAAACCTGTTGCTCTAAACACCGTGGGGCTACCTGGGATGTTTAATTCTGTCCTTCTTGCGGGAGCTTGTGGGCTGCCCTGGACTCTGCAGGGCAGATTTATTTCCTCCTGACTTTCAGTACCCAGGGCCCAAAGCTCAGCTCACACCTGTTCTCAACACACTGCTAGGTTCCTGAGTCTGAGGATTCCAGAATTAGAGAGCATCCCCACGGGCAAGAAGCCCTGCTGCTGGTGGGAGGTCTTTGTTTGCGTTTATATTTGTGAAACATGGAGGAGCTGAGAGGACAAGGTGATAAATGCTAGCACATGTGACAGGACCGTCAGCTCTTACCCTGTTGGACACAAGTGCTTAACTTAAGGAAGAAAGCCCTGGGCCTCCCTTTCAAGCCACTCGTCCTTTCTGAGTTGATAGTGTGAAAGCAAATTGTACTGGTGACTCATGGACAGCTCTGAATGAGGCAGGGCACTGCGCCTCGAAGCCAGGGTTCCTTCCCGTGTGACGGGGAGCTGGTAGAAAGACGGAAACGGGTGTTTTGAGGTTGCCTGAGCCTGAGTAGCACTGTGTAGAGGCAGGCAGAACCAGGCACAATGTCTAGGCGTGGAGTCACGTCCATGTGAACTTTCTCTCACTGCTGACCATGTGGAGGAACCAGCAGTGTAGGGCAAGGTAATTGACTAGGTAGGTCTGTAGTTAATGACGCTCTCGAAGGCTGCACAGTGGGAAGATGTCTGCGTATCTCACTGGACATGGTCAGGTTGTGATCAGCTTTGTGGGATTTCCCGAGTGCACACGGAATCTCCCTTAGCAGAGGCAGATGTGCTGATTTTAATGCATGCTCTATCCAGGGTCTCAGCTGTGGTAATCGCAGTCATATACCACGTGAAAAAAATGGAGGCATTATAGTAATTGGATTGCTATGTCTTTCTCCTTTGGATAACTCTTTGTTCTTTGAACGGGCTTTAGAGAAGTGTGAAGTCATCCGATGCTCTGCTTTGTCTTTCAGAACTGTCACTCATCCGGAGAGGGCTCTCACTTCCATTCTGGAATGTGTTTTGGTCGGGAAAAGCCTTGGCAAAGGCGCTGACAGTTAGGGCTGTGGGCGAGTTGCTGTGGTTGGAGGGCAAGTGAAGGCTTCCCATCCAACGCCCAGTGAGATGCAGCAAGTCACACTTGGACATTCATGATGGATTAAAGATGCCCGGCTGCTTTCTGAGATTTATTAGCGCCTTTTAATGTTTAAAATACGTCAGACTTTTATCTCTTTTTGGAGGAAGAAAGGCGTAGGGCATGGAAATAGTGTCAGAGCATTGAGCAGTTGTTTGATAATGACAATACATCATTGATTTATTTTTAAGGAAGAGCTCATTGCAGAAATGGTGCCTAGGAAGCAACAGTACAACTAACAGAAAGCTCCCAGGATTGTATGTAGCCCACTTAGGATTTAAGAACAAAGAAAAACTCAGTTTTATGCATCCTCCTTTGGTTCCCCAGGGGAGACTTCGCTTTCCTCACAGGAAGGAGCTTCCTGTGGGGCTGGTGTCAGGCTCTACAGTGTAAGGCTTCGGCTGCATCTTCATACTGTGGAGGGAAGCCCGGGGCTTGCAGCTGAGGGGCAGGAGCGTCTCAGCCTGCTCTGCCCGTGATGTACCCTGCTCAGCGCTCAGCTACAGAGTTGGGGCCCAGGAGCGCCTCCGGAAGGGGTCACAGAACCCCTTCCACATGTTCCCTATCTCTGTTCTTCCCCCTTCTTCCTTGGCAACTCGGAAGCAGCTTATGCAATTTCAGGAAAATACTCACCACTAGAGGGAGAATTAGACTCATTATAATAGTACCTGTCATTGAACAGCTCAAAGTAATTTTTAGAACCTCAGGCTGTTCCTCTGGAGGATGGTGAGGAGTTGGGGAGCGTGCTCACTCTGTGCCCCTGTGACTGCTGGGGCTAGGGAAGGTCACAGAGCCTGGGGACCGTGGGCTGGCCTTGCAGCAAGGGGTGAGGTGAGGGTCAAGGAGGGCCAGAGAGGGGAAGAGGAGGAGGGACGTTCTGAAGGAAGGGAGAGAGGGTGGGAGGGAGGGAGAGAAACTGCTGGAGGGAGAGAGGTGAGAGAAGGAGAAGAAGAGGGAGAGGATGGGGGCCCTGAGGGTGCTGAAGCGTGAGGCTGAGCTGGTAAGCACTGTTGAGCACTGGTTGAAAAGATGCAGACGTTACAGATACGGTATTGTGTCTTTCTCCTTTGAGAAAGTCCTTGCTGTTTGAATGTTTTTTACACAAGTGTGAAATAATCCGATTCCTAGTTTCATCTTGCAAAACTGTGACTCATTCTGACAGATGGCCCGAGGCTGTCATACCCCCACCCAGGGAACCCCCATTCTTTCTACACCCCACCCAGGGAACCCCCATTCTTTCTGTGGCTCCCAGCACATTTGCCCAGTCCTGTGTTCATCGTTTGGTCCCCAGTCGTTCATTAAGAGGCTTCAAGCCCCTGCATTTTTTACTGTTAGAAGACAGCAGTACTAACACTCCCGGTGCTGCCCCGGCTCACGTATTTTAGAGCAACATCTAGCATTCTGTTATTTGTACAAATTCAGTCATATAGATCATGCTTTCAGCATATCACTTATTGAATGTGTGTCCCACATGTTATGTATAAGTGTCTGGTGAGTGTTCGGTGTGAATAAAAATCCCCAGGGATTTGTAGTCTCTGTGGGTGATTCATGTGACATCCTAGGCAAGACGTAGTCAAGAAGTAGAATTACAGCTGCATGGTAGCCTGGGAAGAAGTCCTTCTGCAGGGCATGTCCTGGACACTCACTGTGAAGCCTTATGTACGTGTCACAGCCAGGCCTTCATGTCTTCATGAATGTGCAGATTCAGCCAACTATGGAATGGAAAACTGGAAACAATTGCGCTGAACATTTTCAGACATTTTTTTCTCATCTTTATTCTCTAGGTAGTATTGTATGGTGACTATTTATGTAGCACTTACAGTGTACCTTGTACCAGTCATCTAAAGGTGGTTTAATGAGTCCATAAAGGTTATAGGTGAGTTACTAGGTCACTTCATATGACTGGCTTGAGCATCCTTGGGTTTTGGTACCCAAGAAGTGGAAGTGGATTGTGGAGCCGTCCATAGCAAAGAAGGAAAGACAACTGTATATTCATCCAGATTTAGGTCGTCTGACCAGTGCTGTAGACTATGTTACGGCTTGTCCAAACTTGTAAATTTTATGTATATATTATATGACGTATGTATATATGAATACACGATACAAACATAGTTCTGAAGATTTAAATGAAGTAGCTGGGTTGAAATTTAAAATGCTTGTAAGTCTTACTAATTTCATGTTCATTGTGTATCATTTAGAGAATCCCGAAGATTATCTTTAGAAAACATAAGTCCCAGAGCACAGGTCTGCTGATGGGGCCTGGTATTTTCGTTGCTCTCTGAGACCTTGGATATGAATGAGCTCGTTTGCATTCACATCCAATAGTGCAGCTTTTATTCTTTTTTCTTTCTTCCTTGAAGAAAACTCTCAAGTCCTGCACACTGACACCTTAGAATGGAGGTGTTTGTTTTGTGGCTTTCTGGCCCAGTTAATGGTGAGCCGTGTGCAGGTAGGTTCTTCCTCCAGACAGGAGGGCTGAGGGCGAGCCGGCTCCCTCCCCGTAACACCGGCCTTTCATCCCCAGCCTGCCCACTGATGCATGCCTGTCAGGGGGTATCGACAGCTCTGTATTCAGCAGTGCACGACACAGTTTCCGAGACCCAAGCACTCATTTGGAGCTGCTGGTTAGAAACCCAGACTGTAGGGGTCAGCGAGATGGCTCAGTGGAATAAGTGTTTCCTTGGCAAGCACAAGGGCCTGAGTTTGATCCCCAGTTCCACACACACACAAAAGAAAGAAAGAAAGAAGCCCAAACTGTAGTTTGAGGCTGCTTTGGAGCATAGTGAGACCCTGTCTCAAAAACAAACAACCCCCACCCAAATCTAAAGAGCTATGTTAAAGGTATACTAGAAAGGCTTTTTTTTTTTTTTTTTGAAATGTGATGCACTTTTAAAAAAAAAATTTTAAAGAATATACAATAGAGATATAAAGAAAACCTATTATCATGCTAGTGTGAGAACTTGAAAGAGTAATGAAAATTTAAAAGATACAATGGATATTGTGAAAGGGAAAGAAATTGTCCAATGGGAAGGAAAAACTGGGATTAGAAGGGCTTTCATTCTTAATGGCTACATTAGCCTGCAACAGGTGAATCCTGTTGTGTTGACCGAGGCCAGTGAAACTGCCCCAGGGCCCCATCACACTGAGCCCTTCACTGTTGTCCCAGATGAGTGCTGGCCGGCAGGCACCCTCAGGACAACCGCAGGTTGGTCTCCACCCCCAGACTCCAGTCTTCAGGAGGAGCCATCATCCCAGGGAGTTGGTTCTGCAGACTCGGCTCCTGCCATCAGGAGAATGAGGTTTGTCCCCCAGAGAGGAGCAGCAGGGGACAGAAAGCCATGGCCGACAGGGGGAGGCAAGTGCCCGACCTGGGCGGCTTCCAGGTATGTCTCAGAAGGCTCCCTCCCTGCCGGCTGACCTGTCATGCTGTCCATGGCACAGGGCCCTCCCTGCAGCTTAACTTGCATAGGGAACAGTCTGTGACGTTTCCTGGAAACGTGCCGTGTTTGCAGCACCTGCCTTCTTCCTGTCCGCCTCTTCCTGGGTGCTTCATTTTAGTTTCACATTTTAGGTACAACATGTGGATTTGTACTTAGGGTCACGGGACTTTCTGCTCATTCCAGTGGTCCTTGGGGAGGGACACCCTGAGGGCGTGGCATCTCCAGGGCCCCTCTCTTCACTTACGTGTCTTTCTGTGCCATAACTACAGGTCCAGAAAGGTGGAAGAGGATGAGTACGAGGATTCTTCATCAAACCAAAAGTGGGTCTTGGCTCCAAAATCTCAGGACACCGATGTGACTCTTATTCTCAACAAGTTGCTGAGAGAGTATGATAAAAAGCTGCGGCCAGATATTGGAAGTGAGTACAGTCTGTCATTCCTGTAGAAAATCTATTATGATGACGTTATTTTTGAAGCATTTATTTTTAAATAATTACAAATTGAGAAATTCTTGCAAAGATAACATGTCTTAGGCTCATCCCACAACCCACGGCTGAGTGTCGTAGTGAAGCCAGAGGTTGCCATTGGTGTGTGTGTATGTGTTTGAGTGTGTGCGCTTCTATCATGTTCTGTCGCAGGTAAGTCTCTACAATAACAGCAGTGAGATCCTCGGCTAGTTCAGGAGCACAGAGATCCCCTGCCATTGTCTTACGGTCATATCTAGTTCTTTTCCCCAAGTTTCTAACATTGGCCACCAGTTTGCTTCCTACGGCTGTATTTTTTGCCATGTTGAGACTAGTATGTGTAGAACCACCCACTTCGGAGACTGATGTTGTTTCCCTGAGCCAGGGACTCCGAGCCCCACGGAAGCTGCTGCCCGTGTCGGTTGCGGATGTCTCTTGGAGAGCAGCCTGTGCACGCACGTGCAGCGTGGTGCCTCACTCAGCTATTGAGGGACATTCCTGTTGTTTCCACTTTTGTCTGTACAAATAGACAGTGAATGATGATATTCACTTCTATATGGATTTTTTTATGCCAGCATAAAATTTGTTCTCTAGGATATATGCCCAGGCTAGAATTGTTTTTTCAAAGTTTCTTTCAAGTTCTTTTTTGTAAATATAAATTAACTTGCCCATGCCCTGGTTATGGTAAATAAACTACATGGTAAATGTACTGTGATAAAAAAATTAACTTTTCAAATGGAGGCTATTAATGGGGTGATGTTTTGATAGGTGTGGATATCATATAATGTTTAAAACAAAGTGAAATCACCTTTGTCCTCATTTATTATTTCTTTGTGGTAAAAATACTCAAAATCCTTTCTTCTAAACTGGGCATGGTGGTGCATGCCTATCATCCTAGCCCTCGAGAGGCTGAGGCAGGAGGCTTGCTGCGAGCTCCTGTGGTCAGTCTGGGCTACACAGAATGACCATGTGTCAAAAATAAAATCCTTTCTTGTAAGTCCAAAACGTATGGCGGATTAGTCTTACTGCTCCCCATCCTACCCTAGCCCTGCGCTCGCCAGCCCCATTTCTTTTCTTTCCCCTACTCCCCATCTCCATTCTGCTCTCTGTTTTTTTTCAGGGAATGGCTGGACTGTTTTCTAAGTGCCTGTAACATTTTCTGTTTGCGGCCAGCAATGTCTGAGAACTCAGTTCCCTCTGTTCTCACCAGCTGTTGATATAGTCATTATTTTTTTCTGTTAGAAACTGTAATAGGAAAATGCTTAGTAGGCTACCAGCCCATTCCATCTTAATTTGTGTTCCCAGTTGTTAGTACCAGAGACTGCTCTTTATTGCTGGTCATCTGTGTGTCTTGTCATGGAAACTTCCCTTTGTGCAATTTGCTCTCATACGTGGTGAATTGCTTAGTTTGTCTTACTTCATATTTTTACTGCTCAGTATTAAGAATTCTGTCTCACTGTAAGTGAGTCTTTCTCAGATCCCAAGCTTCTCATTTCATTCTCTCAAAGAGAATTTTCACAGGGGAAGTTTTAGTACTCAGGAAAACCAGTTATTTATTTTCCTTTTATGGAGAATGGTTTCGGAGTAATCTGTAAGAACTTTTCAAGGCATTCTAATTTCTGAGGATTTTCTTCTATGAATTTATAACTTTGTTTTACATTTGAAGTCACTATGTTTAAGTTAATTTTATATAAAATCAAGGCAGGAGTATTGTGATCTATTATCCCTTCCTCTATCTCCAGTTGTGTCACAGATTATTGAAGAGATAAACTCTCCTATTGAATTATATTTATTGAGCTTTCAAAAATTCATTTTCTTGGCTAGTGGGGGGTGCTCTGGATTCTCTATCTTATTTGTCTGTGTCTGTCACTGTCAGCACTTCATTCGATTGCTGCAGGTCTATAGCGAGCCTTGAAATTGGATGGAGTAATTGACCTTCCTTATTCTTCTTAACTTTTATGCTGATTTGTTTTCATACATAAATTTTAGGCAAATGTTGTCTGTATCAAAAAGAAGAATGTCTTAGCCAGGTATGGTGGCATTTGTCTGTAATCTTAGGATTTGGGAAGCTCAGATAGGAGGATTGCCTAGAGTTCAAGCTCAACCTAGACTATATTGTGAGTTTCAGACCAGCCTGGATCACACAATGAGACCTTGTCCCACAAAATGCATAAAGTAAGTAAGCAAGGCAGAAAGCAAGCAATCAAGAAAGAAAATCTGGGGCTGGGGAGATGGCTCAGTGGAATAAGTGCTTCCCTGGCAAGTGCAAGGGCCTGAGTTCAATCCCTGTTCCGGAAAAAAAAAAAAAAAAATCTTATGAGGCCATTGATGGGAATGTTGTTATTACTATATATCTGTTTGGATAGAATTGGACAAGTCTACTATGTTGAAACTTATTATGTCCAATCCATGGACATGCTGTGTTTCCCATATACTTAGAGATCTTCTTTAGTGTCTTATATAAGTGATTTCTAGAGGTTGACATTTGAATTCTGAAAATATTTTGTTGGATTGATTCTGTTATTGTTTGTGTCTAGCCTCATGTAGTCATGGGGTGGATTTGTAGACTTTGTGGTTAATTCATCATTCAGTGCTGGGATTATGGGTGTATTGCTGGGATTATGGGTGTGAATATTGCTGGGATTATGGGTGTGAGGGTTGCTGGGATTATAGGTGTGTGTACTGCACCCAGCCTGGGGCAGACAGCCTGAAGGCAGCATAAGGGAGATAGACTTGCTCTCTGCAACCCTGGTTGCCACTGCTCCTCCCATTAGCTCGTCCTGTTTTGCTGTATTCTGTTACCATGAACTGCTGCCCTCTTCCATGAGCCACTCCGCCTTCGCATCAGCTGATTATGGACTGAAACCTCCACTAACTGTGAGCTAAATAAACTTCCCTTCCTTAACTTTGGGTGTCAGGTATTTTGTCCCAGCAGCAAGAGAAAAGTAACTGAGATAGACGCCAAAAGTATTTTATTTTTTTTTACATCATTTAAATGATACTGCATTTTTAAGCGTTATTTTTCTTATGTTCGGTGCTATTCTACAGAGACAGAATTGACTGTTATGTGGTGATGTGTCTTTTGACTTGTTCAAATTTCAGTAGTTTTAGAAGGTTTTTTTTTTTTTCTAGTAAGTTTCTTCAGCTTTTCTGTGTATACCAGCATGCCACATATAAGAAAGGGGCTGTATTTCTTCTCTTCCAGGCTGTAGTGTTTTCTTTTCTTTCCTGGAGCATGGCTGGAACTTTGAGCCCTCTGATGAGCAGCAGTGTTGTGAGTGGATAGCTCTGCTTTTTTTTAGGTCTAGGGGCAACATGTTCTGTATTCCCCCATAAGGATGATGTGAGCTGAAGGTGTTCTGTATGTTCTTATCCTTGTGGAAAGCTTCCTTTAATTCCTGGCTTTCCAAGAGACTTTTTAAAATCACCTATGAGTCCTGAATTTGACCTACTATTTTATTGCATTGTTTGATATAGTCATGGAATGTTTCATCTTTTGCTTAATATGGTTGATTCATTTTCCAATATTGAACCACTGTTTTGTCCCTGGGATTAATTCTACTTGGTCATGTCAGTTGGTATGTCTTTTTATAAAATTCTCTTTTATGTATTGCTGAATTCACTTTGCTAAAACTTGTTTTTTTTTTAAATGTCTGTACTTGCGGGCCATTGGTCTAACATTTTCTTTTTCTTTCTTTGCTTTTCTTTTTTCACTCTTTTTGGCTTTGGTGGTAGGTAGCACCAATGTCATACGGTGAGTGGGGAAGTGCTCCTTCATCTTTTGTGGAATGGAACTTGGATTGCGTAAGCCTTGGTGTTATTTCTCCAAATGTTTGGTAAGCTTCTTCCATGGTACCTTCTGGGCCAGCACTTTTCTCTTAGGGGGAGTTTTTTAAATTACAGATTCCTTAGTTTAATGAATATAAGTGTACTCAAATGATGCATTTCATATTGAATAAATTGTGATGGTTTTTCAAATAATTTTTCTGTTTCTTTCATGTGGCCACGTTTGTGCGTGCAGGGCTGTAGTGGCCCCTACAACCTTTGGAGCAGATGCAGGGCTGGTGGGGACTTCCTTGACTCACAGCTGGCGCTGGCACTTGGGGATCTTCTTTTTCCTTTGTTAGTCTAGTTAGAGGTTTGTTACTCTGATCTTCTCAGAACACTAGCTTTCTGCTTCATTATTATTCTCAATTGATTTTTGGGTATCAGTTCTTTGATACTTTGATATCTTTCTTTTCTTCTTCCTTTTCTCTGCTTGGTTTTATTTTGGGTTTCTTCCTGCAGTAGAATTTAGATTCTTGATTTGAGACTATTTTTATGTAAGCATTTGGTGCTCTAAATTGTCATCTCAGCACATTTTGACTTTATCCCACAAATTCTGATATGTTGTGCTTATATTTTCATTTAGTTAAATATATTTTTTAATTTCCCTTGACATTTTTGTCATTAACCCTTGGATTATTGGGAAGTATATTTTTAGTTTGTAAATGATTGGGAATTTTCTTTTTCCTGCTTTGATTTCTAATTTCATGACACTGTGATGCAAGAATATCAGTTCAGTTCTTCCAGTTTGTTAATGTTTGATTCATAGCCCAGGAGCCTGTCAAGTTTGAGAAATGGGATTTTTAAATAATGTCTGTGCTGGTGCTGTTGGGTAGATTAGAGCCTCTCATTTGACAGTATGGTTGAGGTCCTCTGTGTCCTCGGTTATTTTTTTGCCTAGTTTTTTGTTGTTGTCCCTAAGGGATTAACAATGGTTTGATTGAGAATAGGTTTGACCTTAGATAGAGCGGTGTGCCTGCCTAAGAGAGGTGGCACATGCAGCTGTTGTACAGTCTGCACTGTACCCATGGGATTGGCAGGAGGACATGAGGGCTGTGGCAGCTGCAGTTCTGTCCTTAGGTTGCCCCCAGGGGGTGGTTTGCTTCTTTTCCATTGAGCTCTGCTTCATG